CCCTGGGGTGGGGGGAGGGGAAGAAGGACCTTTAATGAAAAAGAGTACTTTGAAGCATTTTTGATAAATAGACCAAAGCTGTGTAGAAACTTTAAAGATAAAATATCAGTTAAGAGAAACATAAAAGGTAAACATGAACAAACAATGATAAAGGAATAAATGAGCATACACTGATTACATTATAATATGGAGAGATGATACACCTAGACCCTCAGAATCCTATCACTATCAGATGTCATAGATGTAATCAGATGTCAGAGAGTTCACATAGATCTAATCAGATCGAGGGCCTGGGAGTGGTTGCTATATTTTGAGGCAGCTAGGTGATGCTGTGGATAGAGTGCCCACTGGTCTTGGAGTCAGGAAGACCTTAGTTTGTATCCATTCTTAAACACTTATTAGCTGTGTGATCCTAGGCAAGTCATTTAATCTGTTTGCCTCAGTTTCCTCATCTATAAAATGGGGATAATAATAGCACCTACCTCACAGGATAGTTGTGAGGATCAAATGAGATATTAATTATAAAAGATTTAGCACAGTGCCTGGTACATAGTAAGTGCTATATAAATGTTATCTGTTATTTCATGATTTTTAAGGAAGAATTAAAAGAAAGGGGGAGGAAACATGCATAAATTGCTTCACACAATTGGAGTATAACAGGAGAAATCTATACAAAGAGTTAGGGGCAGGGAGAACAGTTGATGCTCTCCCTGATAATCTCTTTTTCTCATCTGAAGTGATCAAAGGATGAAAAAATACACAAAAATTGAATACAGAAATACATTTCATTCAATAGGGAAACAGGAAGTAAAGAAGATAAAGGGGAGTGAGGAATAAGGGGAAGGGTAGACTAGAGGAGAGAGTAGTCTTATACAAAATAAACTCTAATGATATAAAAAAAAGTTTTTATAGTACTAATTTTATGCTGGCAAAGACTCAAAAATAGTGAGAGCTCCCATAATAGGGAATAGCTGGAGCAGTAGATAGATAGATATAGATATAGATAGATAGATAGGTACAATGTGTGTGTGTGTACATGTGAATAGTATTGTGCTGTAATAAATGATAAAAGAGATAGTTTCTTTTTAAAAAATTATTTAGTATTTTATTTTTCCCAGTTTTTTTGTAAAAAAAAATTTGTAACATTAGTTTTTAAAATTTTGAGTTCCAAATTCTTTTCCTTCCTCCTTTCCCACCTCCCTTTATTGAAAAAGCAAGCAATTTGATATAGGTTATACGTGTGTAGTCATGGAAAACATTTCCATATTAGTCATGTTGTAAAAGAAAACATCTACCAAATGGAGGAAAAAACTCAAAAAAGGAAAGAAAGTTTTAAAAAAGCTTTCTTCAATCTGTATTCAGATACCATCAATTTTCTCTCTGGGGGTGGATAACATTTTTCATCATAAGTCCATCAGAGTTGTCTTGGATCATTGTATTGCTGAAAATAGCTAAATCATTCACAACTGCTTACAGTATTGTTGTTACTCTGTACACAGTACATTTCACTTTGCATCAGCTCGTCTAAGTCCAGGTTTTTCTGAGAGCATCCTGCTCATCATTTCTTATAGCACAATAGTATTCCATCATAATCACAAACCACAATTTGTTCAGTCATTCCCCAACTGATGGGCATCCAAAGGGATAGTTTCAAAGAAACTTAGGATGATTTATATGAATTGATACAAAGAGAATGGTTTATATAGTGAAAAATATTATATAAAGACAAATAACTTTGAAACACTTAGGAATTCTGATTAATGGAATAACTAAATAGTGTTTCAGAAGACTCATATTGAAACATGCTCCCCACCTTTTGATAGAAAGGTTACAGACTCAGAGTACCAATAGAGACTTTTTTTTGACAAAGCCAACATCAAAATTTATTTATAACCAGGGTTCTGATTTTTTCCTTTCTTTCTCAGTTAAAGAAGGGAGGAGAGTGGGAGGGAGAGGAAACAGATTTTTATTGACTGAAATAAATTAATTTTAAAAGACTTACATAACAAAGTATATTAGTGCTGTTTCATACAAGCATATTGTAGTGTACAGTGAAGATAATTTAATTTTTCAATGATCATTGAGGATTTCCAATGCCTCATGGTTTTCATCCTCAATATCAAATTATACGATACAATCCTATATGATAAGGAAAACATAGTAGGTTATGCTGAATCTTTTTCAACTTCCAGATAAATAAATATAAAGATAGATGACAGACTGATAAATATACACACACATAAAGAGAAATATACATATATGACTACATATATTGTATATGCGGGCTGCATATACACAAAATATGACATGTACATACATTCATTCAAGTATATGTGTGTACACGCACACACATATGTTTATGAACAATGGCCAGAGCTCCAAATATGCATTACCTGCAGTGATCTTTTTTTGTCATTCCCTTGCTCTCCTAAGGTTTGAGTATTAAAAAGAAAAAAATTAGGTTTGGATTAATTAGATTAATTGGGCTTTGGTTAGAATTGAATTTTACTGTATATGAAATATATTTAGAGTTATTTTAATTCATTTTACTCATGTTTAGAAAATAGGAAGAGATTAGGTTGTTACTCAGTCATTTTTCAGTCATGTCCAACTCTCTGTGACCTCATATGTGGTTTTGTTGGCAAAGATACTGGAGTCTTTTGCCATTTCCTTGCACGCTTCATTTAACGAATGAGGGACTGAAGCACCTGAGTTCAAATCTGGCTTCAAACACATACTAACTCTGATTCTGGGCAAGTGTTTGCTTTAGTTTCCTCATTTATAAAATGGTCTGAAGAAGGAAATTACAAACCATCCCAGAATCTTCGCCAAAAAAATCCCAAATGGGGTCATGAAGAATTATACACAACTGAAATGACTCAACAGAAAAAAATTATTTAAGATAACTATTCTGTGAACATACTGTCTTCTATGAATATACATTTTATGTGAATGTATTTCTATGGCCAACCTAGAATTCCTGTCCCAACAATTTGCCTCCATACCCTTCTCTTTCTTTATTTCTCTCTTTCTCTCTCTCTCTCTCTCTCTCTCTCTCTCTCTCTCTCTCTCTCTCTCTCTCTCTTTCTCTCTTTCTCTCACCACACACACACACACACACACACACACATACACTCACACACTCCTTGAGGGCAAGGATTATCTTCCTGCCACTATTTATATTCCCAGTGTTTAGTACAGTGCCTTGAATTCAGTAAGCACTTAATAAATGCTTCTTGACTTGTTGACTTGACTTGAAGAATTTAACACTAAATGTAGTATAGAAAGAAGTCTTTAAAATTTGATAAAATTATTTCTTACATAATAAATGGCTATTTCAAATAGCTAGATGACTTTTTAAGAAGTCATATATATAGTGTCGTTATTGCTCAATCATTTTTCTCTTTGTGACCCCATTTGGGGTTTTCTTGGCAAAGATACTAGAGAGGTTTGGCATTTCCTTCTCTAGATCATTTTACAGTTGCAGAAATGGAGGCAAATAAGAGTTAAATGACTTGGCCAGGTTCACACAGCTAGTAAGTGTCTGAGGTCAGAACTGAACTCTGAACTCTATTGTACCACCTAGCTGCCCTCATATATGTAATAAATCCTAATCATTTAAGGATGATTGCACCTATGAATGACTTTCCAAATCTTTTAATGAATACTCTTGGACGCTCTCAAACTTTTCCATGCCTATCATATTTTGCAACAATATCATTTTGATAATGATCGTATAATATCACTTAATTGTCATGTGTAGGATTTGTGAATCATTTTTGGCTTCCTAATATTTTTTATCTTTATTCAACATTGTTTCTTAGCCTTCAGTATGCTTCAAATACTGGCAGACCAAAATATTGAAATGTAAATGTTGTTGTAACCCTGAGAAAAATTTAAAAATATCTATTGCTGGGATAGCTAGGTGGCGCAGTGGATAGAGCACCAGCTCTGAAGTCAGGAGGACCTAAGTTCAAATCCGGCCTCAGAGCAAACACTTGACACGTACTAGCTGTGTGACCTTAGGCAAGTCACTTAACCCTGATTGCCTCACTAAATATATATATATATATGTATATATATATTGCTGACATTATTGAATACAAGTATTTTGTAATAATGGCTATTTATAAATGAATCAATTTTGAATACTTTACCCTGAAAGTGTATTAGGGAGGATGAATTGACAATAGGAGTGATAAGGCTTTTAATAACATATAACTGAAGATTGCTAACTTTTATAATGAGGTTCAGGGGCAGCTAGGTGGCACAGTAAGTAGAGCTCTGGCCTTGGAGTCAGGAGGACCTGAGTTCAAATCCAGCCTCAGACACTTAACACTTACTAGCTGTGTGACCCTGGGCAAGTCACTTAACCCTGATCACCCACCAAAAAAGCAAAAACAAAAACAAAAAACAGAAACAAAAACAAAATAATGATGTTCAGTATCAAGTTTTTGAAAGAAGATGGAACATAATAAAAATGTCACCCCAAAAGGCATATCTAAAATAATTTCCATTGAGAGATTTATCAGGTAAAAAAGGAAAGCAGCTGCACATCCATTCATTGACAGGAACATATTAGAGATGCTTTTCCACTTAAAAAACAGAGAGTTGGGGAAGAGGCGAGAAGCAAGTAACATGGAGTGTTTAAGGGAAAGTTTTAGTGGGTAGGATTCTACTGAAATAACTTATTTTTTAATTACAATATCTAAATTCATAGTAAAAATAAAATGTGTCATAATGCAAAGAATTTATTTGTGATGTGATTTTATATTGTTTAGGGAAAAAAAAATGAAAGCCAGGTCAATTCTATACAAGAGTTGTAGAAAATATTTTAATATCATTTAAAGTTACCTGAGCAAGTTGTTTCAAATACTAAGATGTAAATAATATTCATCATGATCCATTATTTTTATTTGTATTTCTAATCCCTAGAGCAATATCTGGCAAATAGTAGGTGCTTAATAAATGCTTGTTGATTTTTTTTTCCTTTCTTTCAGGTGCCTCCAATACTCCTGGATAAGCAGTTCTCTGAATTCACACCAGATATCACACCAATCATTTTGGCAGCCCACACAAATAATTATGAGATAATAAAACTGTTAGTCCAGAAAGGCGTTTCTGTACCTAGGCCCCATGAGGTTCGCTGTAACTGTGTTGAATGTGTCTCCAGTTCAGATGTAGACAGCCTGCGTCATTCTCGTTCCAGACTTAATATCTACAAAGCCTTGGCAAGCCCATCTCTGATTGCATTGTCAAGCGAGGATCCATTTCTCACAGCTTTTCAACTGAGTTGGGAGCTTCAAGAACTGAGCAAAGTAGAAAATGAATTTAAATCTGAATATGAAGAACTATCCCGGCAGTGCAAACAATTTGCTAAGGACCTTTTGGATCAGACGAGGAGTTCCAGAGAGTTGGAAATCATCCTAAATTATCGAGATGATAACAGCTTGATAGAAGAACAAAGTGGCAATGACCTTGCAAGACTCAAGTTGGCTATTAAGTACCGACAAAAAGAGGTGAGTGCTTCTGGACAATATTTAATAACCAGATATTTCTCTTTAGTTCCCTAAAGTTTACTGACAGAAGCATATTGTTACTCAGAAGACTTTTTTTGTGCATTTATGGCTTTTCTTTCAAACTTTTAACTGTCCAGCACCATTAAGGTTCACTAGAAAAGTTACAGAAGTAATTAACTAGCCCTTAATTAAGGTTGGGCATCTTGCTGGCATTGACATGTCTCATTCTTTCTATTGTTAATGTTACTAGTCAGTGTTAAATGCTGGTGTCTGCTTTAGGATGGAACTATTTGCTATGACAAACGAAAAGCCTTAAACATTCCAAGTCAGTCAGGGACCATAGCACCCCTGCCATACTGTTGTTTTCTTGATTTGTCATGAGAATGTAGGTTGGGGAAATTGACATAAGGCTGATTGCTCTCTTAGGCCACTTCCACATCTTGGTTTTGGGTTTCTATTTATTATTCAAGTTAACAAGTGATTAACCTTGCTTCAGATTTGTTATTTATTTTGATCTACTACCCTCTTTGAAAAGTATGGGATTCTCACTTGAGGTCTTAGGTATATCCTCCAAGACCTAGTTATCCTAGTCATATGGTAATGTGATGCTATTTATTGGGTAGCCCAGTCACTTAGAATAACATAACTATGAAATTCAAAATGTCCAAGGAAATCACATAGTTGTTTGTGGAAATTTTTTTATGAAGCCAAAATGCACAACTGGTTACTTCAACTAAACCAAAATGAACAACCCGACAATCCAAATATCAAGTGTAGCAAAGGAAATGAAAAGGAAACAATATTATGCTTTGGTGTACAAAAAAAGGCATCATCTGACTCTGGTTCACTTGATTGTGCTCACTCTACTTAGGCCTGTCGTATTTTGTGTACTGTCAATTATGTTTAGCTACCACTCTTTTCTATGATTTTCATGGAACAACTTTCCACTAAAATTAGGCAAAAGCAGTCCTTTTGTGTGTAGCATCCAGGAAAAATAACACCACCTTGAAGCAAAGCCTTCTCTGAAAAGGCTAGTTATTCCTGTCTTTTATAGTAGAGGTACATGATGCCGTTTGCATCTGTTTCAGCCAGTCCCAGTAACACTTTTTGGATTGTTACTGTAGTTAACTGTAAGTGATTCAGCAAGATGACTTAAAAAAAAAATTCAGGTGCATTTTATGAATAGCTAACATTTATTAAAAATAATTAAGCCTTTTATTATTAAGAAAATTTATCTTGTTATAAAATTCATATGCATATTTAATGTATAGGTAATATAAATATAATTCCAGATACAGACATAAAAATAATTACATCAGCTTTGGGTTGGAAATCAGAAAACCTCAGTTCTATATATGTGGTTGGGTGGTTCATTGGATAGATCACTGAACCTGGAGTCATGAAGGCTTGAGTCCAAATCCAGCCTCAGACATTTACTAGATGTGTAACTCTAGGCAAGTTACTTTGCCTCCATTTACCTCAGTTTCCTCCTCCGTAAAATCGGAATTATGATATCACCTACCTCCCAGGGTTGTTATGAGGATAAAATTATATTGTATTTGTAGAGTGCTCTACAAACCTTAAAATGAGAGATAAATGTTAGCAAGCCAGATATTCAATTTGGGCCTCTCCCATTAATTCAAGGTATAAATGTGTGCAAGTTGCTTTACCTCCACATGCCTTGGTTTCATACTCTATAAAATAAGGCAGTTAATCTAGATGACATTAAACTTCCAAGCCACCTAATCAACAAAATGGAGAACTCTACATTCTCTATGACCTCTCAAACCTCTCCAAAATAAAAATAATGCACCAAAATAAAGCAACTTCAGGTTTCTCTGTGATCTAGGACACCTAGAATCCAAAAGGTTAAAAAAAAAACTGAATTGACCCTGAGTTTACTCAGCACCCTTCTCCCACCTCCAGTGCTACTCTCAGTAAGAGTATGTTGGCAGAACCAAGGACATGTCATAGGTTATGACAAAGCCCACCTCCAAGCATAGTACTCCCTCCTTCTTTCCATGCCTATGCAGCTCTCAGCTCCAGGCTGCAGAAGTTTGTCCAGGCCATTACAGCCATCCAGCATGCCTGCAGACCTTTAGAAGCACAAGCTTACTGGGGACACAGCCCTTTAACATTAGCACTGAATTGATGGTGCCAGAGTGGATAACCTTAGCACAGTGCTGGGCTAGAAAACTAAGAAATAGAGGAAGTGGGAAAGGAACAGCAGGATAAAAGATTCTGTGTGTGAGGTGAGCTATGCAGCACTCCAGTAAGCCTGAGGGAAAGAAAACAGAATCCAGTTTGAGTCCGTTTTGGCCACCCCTAAAGTCACCTGCGACAGAGACCTAGACTGGTGAACCATAAATTGCTCAGCATGGGAAGAGGATGGAAACCTTTGAAATCCAGCCCCCAAGGAAAACACCATCAGAGGAGACAGAGTCAGAAAGTGAATAAAGGAAGATCAGAAGTGGGGGGGGTAGCGGAGACTGAAAATTATGAAATATCTCAGGGAGAAGAAAACTCAGAGAGCTTAATCATAAGCAGATAAACCAACAGGGAAAACATTAACAGTGGAAGGAAATATGTTCTTCAGATCTAATAAACAAGTTCAGGTATCTATGAATAGATACTGAAAAACAAAGGCAAATGATCCAACACTTGATGAGGCAGTGAGCCCTATGGAATTTGAGGAGAACATGGAAACACAACATGCTATTCCTGACTTTTGAGTGCATAATTTATGGTCTGCACAGCAAAAAAGTAATGGGCAAAATAGGAAAAATGCAATACGTGGTTATAGGTCTCACCAAAGAAAAAAAAGAAAGAACAATTGATTAGGAATACTAATATATAGAAGTGAAGGACAATCTAGAAGAAAAGAAGCAAAACACAATAATATTGAAAGAAAATATGCTTCATGTCCAAAAAAAGCCATACTGATCTTGAAGACAGGAGGTGTAGAGATAAACTAGGGATTCTTGGTCTCCCAGAAGAAAGTTACTGGACAAAAAAAAACAAACCCTAACACCATAGTAATAGGAGAGAACTGACTAGAATTTCTGAAGATGGAAGATGCAGTTCCAATTGAAAGAATTCACAGATGATTTCCAGAAAAAAAAGAACAAAATAAAAGCAGTGATGCACTGGTTAAATTTAATAATTCAATTCAGAAATAACAATTTCTGCAAGTGATCAGGAAAAAAGATATTCAAATATAAAGGAAAAGAAATTGGAATAAAACAAAAGTATTCTGCACCCACTAGAAAACATAGAAAGGAATAAAATAATGTATTCTAAAGAGCGATGGCACTTATGATGTAATCCAAGATGACCTACCCTAAAAAGCTGAACTTGACCATACATGAAAAAAGATGGATGTTCAGTAATAAAGAAAGGTTTGAAACATTTTAGAAAGAAAACCAAACTGAAGAGATTATTTGCTTCATAAGCTCACAAACAACAGAAACAATTTGAATGAAGAGATAGGAGAGGACATCCCCAACTCTTCCCTAGGAAGTAGGAAATCCATAAGTATTACATACTGCATATGTTTTCAGACTTTTTCAATGTATCAATCACTTATACTGATTTTTTTCCTCTCTAAAAATACTATGTGTTGTATGAGTTGACTCTAGGGATACATGAGATAATTCTGATAATGTAAGAAACAGAAAATAGCAATATAAACATATTTGAAAGCAAATAAACTAGATTATGTCTAGGATCTCTTCTAGTTTTTTCATTGTAGGATTTAGCATTAGCAGTATGAGTCAATTTAATTCAACAACCATTTATTAAGCACCTAACCTGTGCAAAGCACAATGCTGACTCTTGGGACACAAATGTAAGACAGAGATATAGACTCTATTACCAGAAGTAGATATTTTAATGAAGGTGGATCTGGAGGTTGAGAAAGAGTGGTCAGGTGGCTGAATGTAGAGTAAGACTTCTAGAATTCATGTATGAGTTTCAGAATTTGGACACAAGTCTTCAAGTAGAAGATTTGCTACTAAATATTATTGGCTCTTTTTAATATAGGGAAGTATTTAAGTGCGTTTAGGCATAGTAGTTCTTTGTGTTAAATTTGGTTTATGCATATTATAAATGTAGTATATTAAATGATAGGTAAAACAAAACATTAAACAGAGGACACAGAAATCAACATTGTTCATTCCGCAAGCCCTCTCGATGAGGTCACCTTGGGGCATGTTGGATACATGCAATTTTCATCCACATCTGGTCCTACCACTAGCCCTGACTGTGATCCCAGGTTTCTATCTAATTAATCTTCACTGCTTTCATGAAGTCACTTTCAGAGTTATGGAAAGAAAAATTCCATAAATTCTGGGATAATATCTGGTATGGTAATGGTTTTCTATAAATTATGGATTTGAATGAAGTTCAATTAATTCAAGCCCTGAAATTCTCTGCAAAGATCTAAGAAAAGTTCTCAGTATATTTGAATTTCAGTTGTAAATCTAGTTATATGATCTAAATAAAGTAGTTATCATTTATGTGCATTTTTCTGTTTGAAGAGAACAGAAACCATACAGGTACCTGTGTAATTGAGGCAGGAAGGTGGCTCAGTGAATAGAGTGCTCAAGTCAGGAAGACATGAGTTCAAATCCAACCTCACACACTTACTAGCTATGTGACCCTGGGCAAGTCACTTAACCTCTATTTCTCTTAATCTACCAGAGAAGTAGATGTCTAATCACTCCAATATTTTTTTCTAAGAAAATGCCATGAACAGCATTGGCATGCTATGATCCACATGGTTGTGAAGAGTCTCATGGGACTGAACAACACCACGTGTGTAGTTAATCACTTTATTTTAAGGGCACATACATTTTGAGTCCCCTCTTCTGAACCTTATTTTTATCCAGAACTCTACTGGATGTTTAATCACCCAGGTTCCCAACTTCAGCATTATTCTTTGACCCCCTCACCTTTTGTGTCTAGTTGCCTAATATTTCCATTTCTACCCCCACCATATT